AATCCACTCACCTCAGCCTCCCAAAGCACGGGATTACAGGCTGAGCCACTGAACCTGGCTAGGGAAAGATTTGATATGGATAATGTATCCGTGTTCCCCTGAAAAAATCAGACACAGATGCATATCCATATATGCACACATATACTTATAGATATCATACTATAGACACATAGAAATAATAATATGGACACTCAGAGATCATGTTTTCCAGAGGAAAGTCATGGCTTAGATGAGAGAGGGACGGACTGAATTTCCACCAAGATCCCTCCAACGCAGAGTGTTAGACATTTTCTTTCTCCAAATACATCTTATAAATTTAAGAACCCACTGCCTGTATACTCATATCTTTTTGCTTAGTATATTGTGAGCACGTCCCAAATCCTCAAACATCCTGTAAAAGTGCCATTTTCAACCACTGCCCAAAATGCCACGGGGAGCGTCTTTGCACACAAGCCTGTGTTTCCGCGTCCTCAGGACGGACGCTAAAAGGGACGATGCCACGTGCGGAGGCTTCGAGGGTCCCGATTTTTTTTTTTGAGTGGGAGTCTCACTCTGTCGCCCAGACTGGAGTGCAGCGGCCGCTCCCGGCCACCGCAGCCTCGGCCTGCTGGGCTCCGGCGATCCTTCCGAGTAGCTGGAATTACAGGCATGCGCCACCACGCCCAGCTGATTTTTTGATTTATTGTAGAGATGAGGTCTCGCTGCCCAGGAGGGTCTCGAACCCGCGGGCTCAGGCCATCCACTCACCTCAGCCTCCCAAGGCGCGGGACGACAGGCTGAGCCACCGAGCCCGGCTGAGGGTCCTGATTTTTATTGCAAGTTGCTCCCCAGAAAGCTCATGCCAGCGTACAATCTCACCGACCCTGGAAGTTCTAAATCACCAGCCAATAAAACCAACCACCAAGGGCCCCGACCCCAGGAGGTTCCAGGCAGGGCTTCCCTGCTGTAACACCCAGAGAGATGGGCGAGTTTTTATCCCCATTTTCCGGAGGGTGAAGCTGAGGCAGAGTGGGGTTAGAACTAAGTTAACCAACACCACACCGCACGTAAGAAGCAGAGGTGGGGTTGGAACAAGGATTTGCAAGCACCCTGGCTCCCCTCACCCGAAGGACTTCAGCCTTTGCCGCAGGCATTAGCAGCGGTCAAGGCTGCCGGCAGGCCGCCGGGGGGCCCGTCTCCTCCCCGGGCTGGGCCAGGCGTTGGGTGTGGAGGCAGGACCCCCAGAAAGCCCTCGGAGTGGGCTCTGAGCCCCTGGCCGTAGGGACCCCTGGGAGCTGGGCGCAGAAGAGCCGTCCAGGGTCCAGGCAGCCCTTGGAGCCCGAATGCCCTCAGTGCAGGTGGGGCTCTGGCACAGACTTGGCCCTCGGACCTTTAACCCCATCGTGCCTGTTTTCTCCAAGGCGACATGGGCGTGAGCCTACCTGTCCTCCTTGCCCAGGGCATGGCTGACCCAGGAGGGGCGGTGCTCAGCCTGCCGTCCAGAGCATCTGACCTGGATGCTGGTCACACAACCCGGTTATGGACTCTTCCCTCCCACAAGCACCGCCCCCTAGCCCAGCCAGGGCGAGGCTCCGCCACTCAGCTGCCTCTAAATGATCCCCGCAGAGCTGCCGCCAGCCCGATGACTCTCTCAGGAACTGAGGGTGGCCGATCTAGGGTTCCTCCGGAGTGCCCGAGGCCTTCCAGACACCTTTCCAGAGGAGGAGAAAATGGCACCGACACCCGTGCCACAGACAGCCTGGTCCCGCCCGTCCTCATATGGCCACACCCCGTAGAGACCCCACGATCCCTTTTTGACTGAACACCTTGTCTGACCTCCAGGCCGCCCCTGAGATGCAGTTACCAGGATTCACCCATCTGGTAGCTGAGGAGACTGATGCTCAGAGAGGGAAAGCCACTTGCCCAGGGTTGCACAGCTCGCTAGGATTCTGACTCCTGGCGCAGTGCTCCTCACTTCGGTCCTCATGTACAGACCTCCCACCTGAAGAGAGACTTTTCTGCCAGCACCTACTGTTCTCTCCCCCCCCGAAGACCCTGGTCACTGCCAGCAAAGCCTCCACCTTAGGCAAAGCGAGAAATGCCTTCTTTCTACCAAAAGGTCACAGGCCCGCCACGTTGGTGCCGGGGGTGACTTGGACCTAAACTGCAAACCGCAGGCTCATGTAAGTGGCTCAGAGATGACCAGGTCCTGTGGCAACAGGGAGGGCCACGGCAGCAAGTGTTCCAGGGGCCGGAGGGTGTGCACGGGGGAACCATGAAGACAGATCCACGCCGGCCAGGGAGGCCGCGACGCACAAGCCACGTTTCCAGCAGAGGCCACAGGGCCTGGCACCGCAGTTCTGTGTTTTGGTCTCAGGGCCCTTCACGCTCTCAAAACTGTCAAGGACCCCAAATAGCTTCTGTGTTTGGAGGTGATGTCTCTGCATAAACTGAGCCGAGTGCAACACTGACAGAGGTGTGGGACCCAGGGGGCCTCCTCTGGCCACCAAGCGACGGCCGCACAGGCCTCTGGAAAAGTCCACTGTGCGTTCGTGAAACAAGAGAGCTTAACGGGCGGATAGCATCTCAGTATTACTGTGGAAATAGGTTTGACCTCCCAGGTCTCCTACAGAGGTCTCAAGGATGTCCCCAGGGTCCCCAGAACAGTCTTTGAGAATCACGGTTTCCTCTGTGGGACGCCTGTCTGCACACCCACAAACACCCACACGTGGGTGCTTGGAGCATCTGTGTGGAAAACTGAGCCAGAGAAACGCCACGGGGGCCAGCCACGGCTCAGGGCGCCACCAGGGCCAGCAACCCATGTGCCCAGGACTCGGAAGAAGTGGCCACATTGGCTTCAGACCAGCCAGGGCTGGAGGCGCCACAGGGCGTGAGAGGCAAGGCCCGAAAACTGCCGCCTCCCAGCACAGACAGGTGAGAGGGTTGACAGGCTTCGGGGGGCACGAGGGTGGGCTCGAGTCCCTTTGTCCCTCCACAGGGGCCCAAAACACGGATGGACTGAGCACACGGCATTTCCTCTGATAAAGCCCCATGGTCACATTTGTCTTCCTGGGCCACTGAGGGAAAGCCCCGTCCCCATCAGCTGTCTCCCGAGTCCTTCCATCCTGCCGGTTATTTCTGCACAAGACGCCCTCACTCCCGGGGAGCCGCCAGGAGTGGGCCGCCGCGAGCGGGCATGGCTTCCCAGCCCCCTCTGCCGCTCGCCAGCCCGTGCAAGCTCCAAAAGGGAAACCCCCTCAAACTGGGGGTGTCACTGTTGCCCGGGCCCTGCCTGGTCTGTCTCCCTCCTCTGCTGACTAGCATCCCCACCGCAGCAGACACGTGCCAAGGCCTGCCGGCCACCTGGTACCCTGCCCTCGTCC